GTTTTTAAAAAATAATTTTAATTATAATTTTAAAAATTAATTTTGAATTTTTTGAAACGAATATTTTAAATTGTAACTAATAAAACTGTTTAAATACATTAATTTAAAATATTTTAAAAAATTTAATTAAAAAAATTCAAAAATATTCCAAAATTGATTTTTAAAAAAATTCAAAAAATTTGAAAAAATGCTTTAATTCTTTTCTACTGATTACTTTATAATTATCTAAATATGTTTTAAAATACTAAAAAATAATAATAATTTAATTTATGATTTTTTAAATATTCCTAATTGCAACTTTCTAAATACTTTAATTTTCTCTATAATATTCATTTTAAAACATCCAAAAATTATCTAAAATTATCCAAAAAGTACAAAATAAAAAACATTTAAATTCCTCTCTAAAAATTACATTAAAAAATTTAAAAATTCCAAAAAATTTAAAATTTTTTCTAAAAAATTCACTTTAAAATATCTAAAAAGTCTACTTGGAAATAATTGTAAAGTATCATATCAGTAGAAGATAAATATGTGAAATGATTTGTTTTATCGATCAAACATTATCGGAACCATTAATTTTTTTTTTTTGATAAGGGCTATAATACCATTTATGTTATTTGCCAATTGGCAATAAAAGCTAACCCATAATATGGCATTCATAATTGATCAAAGCATATATATTTTTTTATGATTTTCTAAAAAAAACACCGATTCAAAAATAAATATTTCTACTTTTCTATTGATTTGAAAAGTGTTTTTTTTCCCTTCCTTCAAATAAAATAAAATTACGATCTTGTACTAAAAGTCATGTGACTTTAAACGTTTTCCAATATTCCATATTGACTAAATAATACTTTTTTTAGATAATAACTAAAATTATAATTTCTTTGTGTGCGGAATTAAGAGTTGGAGAAGAGGAATTTTTTTTTTTAGATTTTACAAAAAAATATTGGGAGGATGCGGATGACTTGACGTTTTGTCGATGGACTGATTTTTTTGTAATTAATTTTTAATAAATTTTTTTTCGATATTTCTGAAGGGTAAAATGTTTTTAGAGGGATTTAAACTAACGTTTGCATCTAAAAATACTTGAATAGTCATTAATATCATTAGAAAGGAAAAAGAAATGCAGATTTCTTTTTGATTTATTGAAGACTGGAGTGTTTTACGAGAATTTCTGTATCTGAAAACACAGAGGTAATCATTAAAAATCACAGAGATGGATAGAAATGTACATATTTTAATATTTTTTTGGAAAAGCGGAGTATTTTTTAAGAATTTTTCTATCTATAAACGTTAAGATAATCATTAAAAGTCATCAGAAAGAAGTAGAAATGCAAACAGATATTTTAGACACTTATAAAGAATTTAATAATAATAATAATAATAATAATAATAATATATAATTTATAATTATTTACTGTTTAAATCTTATGTTTATAAGAAATTTTTACTTATTAAATTTAACATTTCGTGATAAGAAAAACATGAAAAATTTAAATTTCAATAAAAATTTCATTTCTAAAAATACAAAAGGAAAAAGAAAACATATGCAAAAAGTAATTTTGTATTTCCATGAAGGAATTATTTATGGACGAATCGAAGTCACATCGTAATGAAATTTCTAAAAAAACACGTTGTTACTTCCTGCGACGTGACGAAAATTTAAGGATTTTTTTTTTGGAAAACGTAGTCAAGCCTTGAAAAATAATTTGTTAAAATATAATAAACAAACATAAACTTAAAATTTATTTGAAGAAATTGCAGTTTTTTAAAATTATTTTTGCTATTTTTGGATGCAGAATTTACGGCTAGTGATCACGAAATACTCCCGAGAAAATCCTTTAGTTAGGTACAAGTTACGTTAATCTACGTGATTAATGGATATACCATTAAAGGATCTTCTTTCCAAAAAACAAAGAAAACAATATTTGCTGTTGTTTTTCTAAGAAAATACTTAAATTTGTTAAATGGCAAAAGTTTTATTTATCGGAATAATCATTAGAAAATTGCTAGAAAGCTTCTAAAGGTGTAAAAATGTGTGCTTTTTTGAATGAGTTTTTATACAAAAAGTGCAGTTTTTTTAGAGTAAACTATATCCAAGTCAATTTTAAAAAACACAATATTTGTTATATAATATTTAAATTTAAATTGGGATTATTAAAGGAAGACTTCTAATTTTTCGGTTATAATTTGACAATATTGTAGACCGATAGTTCTCACTGTCGTCCGTCTGCCTGTCTGTTTTTCCTTAATCTCGAGAAGAGAGTTAGGTAGACAAAAGTCGAGACTAAATATGGAAAAATTAAGGGCAGGAAACTCCGATAAACTATATAATAACTTCCAGTTAGGACTTGATGTTACGTTATTTCAATTCAAAATTTTCCCCTGAACTGAGTTAGATACACGACCGGCACGACTCACTATTGGTAACAGGAAACGTATGATGTCCAGGGGCAAGACACTAAACAATTGAGAACACTGACGAAAAATTGCAGCCCAAATAATTGCTCGTTAGATATAATTTGTTTATTTATTTAAAAAATCGTTAGAAAAATTAATAAAAAAGCTTCTAATAACGCAAAAAATGTAGCTAAGAAATTGCATTTTTGTTTGATTTTATGCAAAAAAAAAATTGTGTTTTTACCGATATTATACTCAAAAAGCTGTATTTTTTTAATAACATCAATTTAAAAAACACATTTTTAAAGATAAGTCTACATAAGGGATGATGGAAAGGGAAAAATTTTAAAGTATTTTACATTTTTTCTTATGTTCAGACGGTGCCACATCACCAACAGCGGGTCCAGTTCGGAGGTCCACCATACAAAAAACTACATCGGAGCAATACGAATCCAAATCTACACGCGACATTACTCTAAGTTTACCCGAAAATTTGTTTTTAAGCACAGGACCAACCACAGCTCGTCCCATCATCGATGGTAAATCGAGGTTTACGTCATACATTTAGCTGCTACTGGAGATATTTTTTTGATCCGATTTTTTTTATTTTATTACAGATACTCCAGTAGAAGTACCCGCTTTTTCTGGAACGTCTTTTTTAGAGTTTCATCGTTTACAAGCTTACACTCGATTGTCTTTAGAGCTGGAATTTCGAACGTTTTCTAATAATGGCATCCTCCTCTACAATGGACAAACTTCGACTGGAGCTGGAGATTTTGTATCTTTAGCTATTAAAGATGGATACGTTGAATTCAGGTTAGAAAATTATTTTAAAAAAACAAAATTTTCCCTAAAATTGAACAAATTTCTATGTCATTTTACCGTGGAAAATTGCATGGAAAATATAGAAATAACCGAATTTTAAAATGTTTAAGTTTTTGTTAACGTTTTTATTCCGTAAAGAATTGCTTAAAACGCTAGAAAATAATTTTTTGTGCTTTTAAAAATAAATGTGAAAGAATAATTGCATTTTTCAAAAAACCAGAGAGAATAATTGCTGCATTTTTTGAAAAATTGCAAAAAATAATTCATAATTATTCATAAGAAAGGATAATTGCAGTCTTTGGAAAATCGGAAAAAAAGAATTGCATTTTTTAAAAATTACAACAATTACAGTAATTGTATTTTTTTGAAAAAGTGGAAAAATATTGCTATTTACAATAACTGAATTTATGGAATAAATATGAGTGAATAATTACCATTTTAAAAAATAAACGTAATGACTTAATGCCATTTTTCTAAAAGTATAACGAAATAATTATATTTTTGGAAAAAATTGTAAACCTTTTTCTGCATTTTTAAAAACTTATTTATTCCGTAAACTTTATAAAATATTCAAAAATTTCATAATTTGGACACATAAATTTGGAAAGTGGACAAAAATGTAAATCGCAAACGAAATAAAAAAAAAAAAAAAAAGGAATTTTTCTGTTGACCCAACAAATAGCAAATTTCTTTTTTAGATTCTTGATAAAATTTCAATTTACAAATTTAAAAACTTCTTTTGTAATTTATAAAAATTCTCTTACAATATAATTGTAAATAGAATAATTGAATTTTTTTGGAAGAAATGTAAAAAATAATGCCATTTTTCTAGTTATCGTAATAAAGTAATTGCGTTTTTTTAGAATAAACATTAAATAATAACTTCATTTTTCTAACAACTGTAATTGTTAGTAATTGAGGTTTTTGGAATAAATTCGAAAGAATTAATTGCATTTATTTTTTAAAAAAATAATCGCTTTAAAAAACGTAGAAAACATTATGTTATTTTCTAATATTTAAAATAAAATAATTGTATTTTTTCAAACCGACAATGACAGAATTTTCTCAATAATTACAATANAAAAAAAAAAAAAAAAAAAAGGAATTTTTCTGTTGACCCAACAAATAGCAAATTTCTTTTTTAGATTCTTGATAAAATTTCAATTTACAAATTTAAAAACTTCTTTTGTAATTTATAAAAATTCTCTTACAATATAATTGTAAATAGAATAATTGAATTTTTTTGGAAGAAATGTAAAAAATAATGCCATTTTTCTAGTTATCGTAATAAAGTAATTGCGTTTTTTTAGAATAAACATTAAATAATAACTTCATTTTTCTAACAACTGTAATTGTTAGTAATTGAGGTTTTTGGAATAAATTCGAAAGAATTAATTGCATTTATTTTTTAAAAAAATAATCGCTTTAAAAAACGTAGAAAACATTATGTTATTTTCTAATATTTAAAATAAAATAATTGTATTTTTTCAAACCGACAATGACAGAATTTTCTCAATAATTACAATAAAATATTTGTTTTTTTTAAATAAATGTGAAATAATCGTATAATTACGTTTTAGGATGATTTTTAGATGTGAATTTAAGTAATTTAAAATTAATAAGAAAAAAATGTAGATAATTTTAATAATTTAAATCATATTTTCTATATTTATACGTAAAATTTTAACGTTAAGTTGAGTGAGAGGGTAATGAAAATGACAGAAATTGATGGAAGTCGACTATCAACAGATACAATTTAGGAAGTGGCCCAGTTATACTGAGATCACCACAAAGGCTACAAGCGGGTCGTTTCCATCGACTAGTTGCAAAAAGATATTTAAGAGATGGGATGCTAACACTAGAAGGTCAAGAAGACGTGGCAGGAAGGAGCGAAGGAGTGCTAAAATCATTGGATCTTGGAGAAAATCTATTTTTAGGATACGTCCCAACGGATAACAAAGGGTAGTTTGCTTATTATTTTATATAATTATAGTGTTACATATATTATATATATATGAAGAGTAGAGAATTATGTTATAGTATAGCTAAATCAAATTCAATCGAGATAATTCTGGTATTTAGGTTAAACCAATTTCGTATACGATACAATTGTGTGATGAAATTTGCTGTGTTCATCAGAAAAATCTTTTCTTTATCCGATTATCAGCGAGACAAAGCGTCTGTTTTAACGAGACACACTTAATGGCTTTCTTCTCTTCTCGTTCTTGATCAGTGTCTTCGATAATATCGGAGTTAAAGGTGGTCTTATCGGTTGCATCAGAAGATTAAGAGTTGGAAGAAAAGAAGTTAACCTTAAATTTCCAGCATCCAAGGATGTCCTGAAAGGAAAAGGGATAAGTAAGTTCGTTATAGTAATTATGATAATAATAATAATAACAATAAAATTCTTAATTAAATTCTCCTTTCTAATTAATAATGTAATAATTAAATCGTATTTCTGTAATAACCCCGCTGAAATTCGATCTACGTCTAGTCATTTAACTAATGATCAAGGCGCGTGCAGCATCTTTATTTTTCCGTTTTCTATGGTTAATTTTCAGTCTTTTTTTTTAATTTGAATTTTTTTATTGGTGAATGTAATAAAGAGGGTTTTTTTAGAGTGTAAACGTTATAAGGAGGTTTTACAAGCGTTGTAAAAATATCTACGATACTTTAAAATATTCCATAGTTTTTAAACCTTTTAAAGAGTTCGTTAACGTTTTAACGAGGTTTAGAAAGTTTATAGACGTTGTAAAAGGGTTATTTTAAATAATAAATGTTATCTGATAACTTCTTTATTGCTAATAGTTACATATTTTGTTTGTGATTTTAAACTTTATAAACGGGTTTTAAAACTTCAAAATATTATAAGAGTTTAATAATAATTACTGTATAATCATAGTAAATTCTTATATATATATATATATATATATATATATATCTGAAACGTTAAAATAAAGTTTTTAAAGTTTATTAAAGTCATAAAAAAGTTTAAAATTGCAAATATTGTTCTATTACTATAAAGGGGTTTTTAAATTTTATAAATATCGTAAAGTGATTGTTTTGTAACCTGCAAACGTTTTAAAGAGGTTTTTATACTTTATAAATGTTATATGTGTTTTCTGAAAATTAAAAACGATACTATAAGACCAATTATTATTGTTTATAAGCATTGTAAGCGTTCAACAATCTAAAGAATATTGAAAACGTTATAAAGAGGTCTTAAAAACTATAAATTTTTAGAGGAAATTTTAAAGCACATAAACTTTATAAGAAGAATTTAAAATTTATTTATTTGTGAAGTAAATTTTTATATTTTCAAACGTTGTAAACGGTTTTAAATCTCTTTAACTTTATATCGGTAGTTTTTTTAACGTTTAGAGACGTTATAAAAGGATATACAGTTTAATAACTTTGTAACAAAAATTTTTTACATTTAGAAACTTTATAAAGAGGGTTTAACGCTTATTAATTTTATAAACTGAGTTTATAAATCTTAAAAATATTAATTAAAGTTTATTAACTTTAAAAACAAAATTTTAAACTCAAACGTTATACAAAGTTTTACAACTTACTTATTTATAAAGGGTTTATAATGGGTTATAAAGTGGTTTAAAGCTTCTTAACATCATGTAAATTTCTAAATATTAGAAATTTAAAAACTAAATTAATTCTATAAGCATAGAGACGTTATAAGGAAAACTTGCTTATTTATAAGGCGAATTTCTACATGTCAGAATTGTTATAAAGAGGTTTAAACCATATCGAAGTTTATAATATGAATTTCTAAATATTATGGATGTTATAAAAGCTTATTCTTTTTTCAAAAGGAATTTTTAAAGTACGCATACGTAAGGAGAGTTTCAGTGCTTGCTCATTTATAAAGCGAATTTCTATGTTTGAGAAGCGTTATAAAGAGGTTTAAATCTTATAAAACGAATTTCTAAAGCTTAGAAACATTACAAGGAAGTTTATTAAGAGATAAAAGCATTTAAATTCGACTTTTTAAAACAAGGGCGATTGTTCAAAGGGCCACAACTCATCGAATTAATTACAAAATGGAGGTAGAAATGCAGAAATTTTAATTAAGTAATATAATTAATGCTAACCAATAGTTTAAGTTAAGCGTTTATCTAATTAACAATTGTCTAAATAAGTAAATTAATGCAATTTTAAAGCGTAATTTAAGAAAAAAAAATTTATATAAATATATATATATATATATATATATATATATATCTGAAACGTTAAAATAAAGTTTTTAAAGTTTATTAAAGTCATAAAAAAGTTTAAAATTGCAAATATTGTTCTATTACTATAAAGGGGTTTTTAAATTTTATAAATATCGTAAAGTGATTGTTTTGTAACCTGCAAACGTTTTAAAGAGGTTTTTATACTTTATAAATGTTATATGTGTTTTCTGAAAATTAAAAACGATACTATAAGACCAATTATTATTGTTTATAAGCATTGTAAGCGTTCAACAATCTAAAGAATATTGAAAACGTTATAAAGAGGTCTTAAAAACTATAAATTTTTAGAGGAAATTTTAAAGCACATAAACTTTATAAGAAGAATTTAAAATTTATTTATTTGTGAAGTAAATTTTTATATTTTCAAACGTTGTAAACGGTTTTAAATCTCTTTAACTTTATATCGGTAGTTTTTTTAACGTTTAGAGACGTTATAAAAGGATATACAGTTTAATAACTTTGTAACAAAAATTTTTTACATTTAGAAACTTTATAAAGAGGGTTTAACGCTTATTAATTTTATAAACTTAAAAATATTAATTAAAGTTTATTAACTTTAAAAACAAAATTTTAAACTCAAACGTTATACAAAGTTTTACAACTTACTTATTTATAAAGGGTTTATAATGGGTTATAAAGTGGTTTAAAGCTTCTTAACATCATGTAAATTTCTAAATATTAGAAATTTAAAAACTAAATTAATTCTATAAGCATAGAGACGTTATAAGGAAAACTTGCTTATTTATAAGGCGAATTTCTACATGTCAGAATTGTTATAAAGAGGTTTAAACCATATCGAAGTTTATAATATGAATTTCTAAATATTATGGATGTTATAAAAGCTTATTCTTTTTTCAAAAGGAATTTTTAAAGTACGCATACGTAAGGAGAGTTTCAGTGCTTGCTCATTTATAAAGCGAATTTCTATGTTTGAGAAGCGTTATAAAGAGGTTTAAATCTTATAAAACGAATTTCTAAAGCTTAGAAACATTACAAGGAAGTTTATTAAGAGATAAAAGCATTTAAATTCGACTTTTTAAAACAAGGGCGATTGTTCAAAGGGCCACAACTCATCGAATTAATTACAAAATGGAGGTAGAAATGCAGAAATTTTAATTAAGTAATATAATTAATGCTAACCAATAGTTTAAGTTAAGCGTTTATCTAATTAACAATTGTCTAAATAAGTAAATTAATGCAATTTTAAAGCGTAATTTAAGAAAAAAAAATATATATATATATACATTAGAATATTCGATAATTTAAATGTATCATAAACAGGATGACGAGTTTATTAGAAAAATGAGTTCATTAAAGAGATTCATTGATATTCATTGAATAATTAACATCGATAAATCATTTACTAAATTGTCATTATCTCATTTACATCAAAATATATTTATAAATATTTATTTTTAATTATTTCCTCAGTTAATGATGTTTATATTTACTCGATTTAACGCTTAAAAAATTTTGTTAATTAACTTCGCATATAAAGTAATTATTGATCGTCCTCGTTTGATTCCATCGTTTCGTGATTTAAAGTATCGTAAGCAACGTTGAAACTTTGTAAGACGTTTATTCAAGTATAGATAAACGTTATATAGGGGTTTTATAGGTTTTAAATATTATATAGAGACTTTTATGACTTATAAACGTTTTTGTGGATTTTATACTCAGAAACGTTATATGTGGGTATTAATTTTTTAAACCTTTTAAGTTTAGGAACGTTATAGAAAGTAATTAATGCTTACAGCGTTTAGGTTAAGAATTTTGATTTAAAACATTATATAAATGTTTTAACAACTTTTGCATGAATTCATAAGTTAGAAACGTTTTTTACGGATATTTTTAAAACATTTTATGCTTAAAACGATACATAGAAGTGTTCTATACGTTTATATAGAGGTATTTACAATTATAAACGTAATAGATGAATTTTTAAACGCAAAAATATTATATAAATATATTTTAAAGTTTAGAAATATTTGCATATAAAATAAATTTTAAGAACGTTATATAGGGGTAGTAACACTGAAATGTTTTATAAGAATTTTTAAGTTTAAAAACACTGTGTACAGTATTTAGAACTTATAATGTTTTAACAGAATTTCTAAACGTTATATAGAGGTATTTAGAGCTTTTTAAAGATTTTAAGCTTAAAACATAGTAATATTTTAAAATTTAAAAGACCTTATAGATGTTTTTAAAGCTTGAATCGCTATATAAGATTATAGAGCATTTTATAAACTGTTTATATGGATTTTAAATGCTTAAGAAGGTCTTTCGAGAATCTTTGTAGCTCGTAAACGTTATATAGGGGCATTTAAATCGTACAAATTTAACAAAGAAGTTTAGAATTATTGTAAATGGATATTTTAATGCTTAAAACGCTGAAAAGTAGTATTAAATTTCATGAAATATTCCTAAAAATAATTGTTCGTAGCCTAGAAACGTAAAATAATGAAATGATAAAATAATGAAGCATTTTACAGGAGAATGCCTGGATAGTCCTTGCAATGCCTTACCTTGTCAGCATTCTGGCAATTGCATCACACAAACAGAAGACTCGTATACTTGCCATTGTCTACCAGATTACACAGGTAATGTTCCGAATCCTTCCTCTTCCTATTTGGAATTTCATAGGTAATTTATCACTAATTATCCTATCATAATTAAGCAGACTAAAAAAAAAAAAAAACGCAAGTCTCCCAGCGATGACTGATTCTGAACGTCATTAAAATATTTTTAAAAAGTAATTGCAATTAAGTTTTCGAAAAAGTCATATTATCTTCGAATGATACCAACAGTTTTCAACGTCGTTAAACTTAATCGTAATTAAAAAGCTTAAAATTAAAAAAATTAATTGTAATTAACAAGATTAATTGCGATTAACAATTTAACTGAAATTAACGACTTAATTGTAATGAACAACTTAACTGTAATTAACAATTTAATTGCAGTTAAAGAATTTCACAATCTGCTTATTTTTTTGTATTTGTATTTTTTTATTTTTTTGCTTATTTGAATTTCACAATCTGCTTGTTTTTTGTTTTTTTTTGTATTAAGGGCGTTTTTTGAAAAAAATTTCCATAAAATTTATGGATTTTTTGAAGTTAATTACAACATACTTTATTCAGAATTAATTAAAAGATATTTGAGTTTTTAGATGCGACGTTAAATTACTTAATTTCTTCTTTAAAGTAATGAAAATCGTGTAAAGTGTACATAATCAATCAACGTCTTGTTCCACGTTGAAAAATCTCGTTTATGCACCGAATGCAATTATATACAAAAGTAAATAAAACTTATTAGGAAAAAAAGAACAAAACAAACTTTTTGTGTGTTTTTAGAATAATAATAATAACAAAAAAAAATTCTTTTTAGATATTTTTCTGTATTACTATCTTAATGATTTACTTTCTTTATTTCCAATTTTTATTTTTTATTTTTTAGTTCTACACAGTCTTCACGACATAAAAATCTTGATTTACTTCGAAAAAACTTCGAAAATAAATCTTTTTATTTTCTTTTTTTTTTTTTGAAGTAAAGAAATTTTTAGGAGTGCATTTTACTTTTCCGGCTTTATGTATAAACAAAGGAAAGGTATGGCGATCGGTCAAAAATGACCCCCCAGATTTTTACTTTTTTAGCTTAGGGGACCTCAAAACATCGAGAAATGCAGAATAATTCGGTGTTATTTGTATGTATGGATGTTAGTGTGTATGAGGGGTACGATTTTGTTCACCCTCTTTCAAGCTTAATAATTCCTGTGCTTTTTGTCGAAAATTTCTGAAATTTTGCACAGAGGTTTGTGTATTAGGAAGATTGATGCTATTAAATTTTGGTGGTTGAAAGTCGACGGAGTGTAGAGATAAAAGGGTCGTGTAGGGTCGGACTTTATGACGATTTTACTCGTTATTAGCATTTATAATTTTTATAAAACCCATCCGTGCCCTTAAAATCAAGCTTTTTATCTTTTTTTAATAAATAAAAATATAAAATGTTTTTTTAATATAATAAAACATCGTAACAGATGGCTCCACAAACGCAGTTTTAAATGTTGTCTGGAAAGTAAAGCAACTCGTTGCTGGACTTATTTTTTAAAGTAAAGATATTTTTAGGAGTGTATTTTTATAGAATGAATCAAATGTTTTTCTCCTCCCTCCTTACATTTACATTTTACGCTTTATAACATTAATGAAGTGTCGCATCTCTGGAGAATATATGAAGAAATTTTTTAGAGAAATTCTTAAAAAAGATATTTCTAAAAAAGTCAAAAAAATTCTCGCTCGTCTCTTCGTCGATAATTTTCATCTAAAGCACCACAGTTCATAAAATAATGTTTAAGTAAATCGAGCGTGTTGCATGTAATATCGGAGGAGTGGATGCGATGCCGATGCACAATTCTTGTATATTCTTTAATTAAGTATTTTTTAAAGATAATAAATGGTGTAATTTTTGGATAAAATCACGAGATAATTAAATTTTTCAGACGTTTGAAATGTTATTTAACCATCAAAGACTTAGAAAATAAAAAAAAGAAGAATGAGAAGGATGAAAGGAGTCGATACTTTTTACAGCTCCTATCCAAAAATATACTGTTTCAATATAGCAGAGTGACCCTCTAAAATTGCTTCCTTTCACTTCACATCCTGTTACTTTTCTTTGACGTTAATTTTTTTGAAAACTTTCTGGAAATAAACAATTTTGACTTTACCAATTTTTATCGTCCGAGTCTAAATCCAAAAGAATTGAAATTTTCCAAAAAATTTTCTGTTTGTAAATTAAAATTCCATAAAATTGTTTAGTATCGTCATTTNAACGTTTTTATTCCGTAAAGAATTGCTTAAAACGCTAGAAAATAATTTTTTGTGCTTTTAAAAATAAATGTGAAAGAATAATTGCATTTTTCAAAAAACCAGAGAGAATAATTGCTGCATTTTTTGAAAAATTGCAAAAAATAATTCATAATTATTCATAAGAAAGGATAATTGCAGTCTTTGGAAAATCGGAAAAAAAGAATTGCATTTTTTAAAAATTACAACAATTACAGTAATTGTATTTTTTTGAAAAAGTGGAAAAATATTGCTATTTACAATAACTGAATTTATGGAATAAATATGAGTGAATAATTACCATTTTAAAAAATAAACGTAATGACTTAATGCCATTTTTCTAAAAGTATAACGAAATAATTATATTTTTGGAAAAAATTGTAAACCTTTTTCTGCATTTTTAAAAACTTATTTATTCCGTAAACTTTATAAAATATTCAAAAATTTCATAATTTGGACACATAAATTTGGAAAGTGGACAAAAATGTAAATCGCAAACGAAATAAAAAAAAAAAAAATAATTTATTTTTTATACTTTGATGAGTTTTTTGATGCGTAAAAGTGTTTTCATAGATTAAACATAATTAATAGTTTGTAAACAGGTTAAAATGTTAAACACTTTTAACATTTTGACACTTCCTTTGATGTATTTTCTTCGTCTCACTGTATAAATAATTAGAAAAATTATTTTTAAATTCAGCATCATCTAAAAATTTCTATCAAATAAATCATTTTCTAAATCAATATTCAACATCTCTTCCTTAATTTGAATAAATTTAATGTATTATTAAACATCGTTAACATTATTTAAAAGCCTTTTATGTTTGTTTAATTAATAATTTTTGAAGTTAAGCATCAATTTATCCTTACGCATCATCATATGTTAACGTATAGAAAAGTTATTTTTAAAGATAATCAAGAAATTAAGTTTCGAAGATAGGGGGAGAAGAAGAAAAAAAGAGCACTTAAATTACAGTTTAAAAGATCGAAAAGTATATAAAAACTTATTTTTTTTCTGACTAATGAGTCATGTAAAGTCTTTCACGATGTAATCAATCTTCATTATAGAATAAATTCTTTTAAACAATCCAAAAATATCAATTTATCACGCAAATATAAAGTGATGCGGATCTAGATTTGCTCCTATGTATTTTCTAATGATTCTGATCAAACTGATTTGTCTCCAATTTCTATCGATTGTTAACACCTCAGTAGAGAATTCTTATAATTTTACAAAGTTTAATATAAATTTTAGACAGTTTATAAACATCTTTTTCACAATAAAGTCAATTAATTAACGTCGAAAAGTGCATAAAAGCATCTTCATCGATCTGTCTAGGAAAACAGAACTTGGTCATTGAACTTGTTTAATATATAGAACAATGTATATAATTATAAATTTTTCATAATTTTGATTTGATTTTTTGAATTATTTTAGGAGAAAATTGTGAATATCCTTTGGATCCTTGCGCCAGTTCTCCATGTGATGAAGGAGCTACCTGTCAACATGTAGGACAATTAGATTTTTCGTGTCTGTGTCCACTTGGAAGAAGTGGTAGTTTGTGCGAAAATTGTAAGTGTTTTTCGATGATTTTTTCAGTCCAAAATTGATTATCTTTTTCTAAAAACAATCCGTATTTATTTAATTTGTGTTTTTTGTAACGTAAGATATTTTTAAAAATTTTATTAAATTATTTATAATTTAATATTGAAGATCCTTTCTAAAGAATTGCCTTCTAAGTACTCCTATAAAAATGATATTACTATATACTCCTATCGAAAGGATCTTTCTACTTCTTCTTTGAAAGAACCTATTACTTATCTTCTTACATTAGAAAGTACCGTTTAATTATACGTTAATGAAACTTAATTATATTTAAAATTACATAACATTTTTATAGAAATTGAAAAATAAAACATGTATTTTTAGACGATGACGTATTCGTTCCTGATTTCGATAGCCACGGATTTCTAGAATTACCCACTCTTCAGAACATAGCCAATTCATTTACTTTAGAACTCTGGTTCCTTACCAGAGCACCCGATGGTATGTTATTATACAATGGTCAACAGGCATCAGGAAGGGGGGATTTCGTCTCCCTCAATATAGTCAATGGCCACATCCAGTTTCGTTATGACCTAGGAAGTGGAATGGCGGATATAGGGTCAGTAGAATTTGTAAAAAGAAAGTGCGGACGTGTGACAAATGATTGAATTTATACATATTTCAAGATTTCTTTTATCGAATTTAGTTACGAAAGTCCAGTAACGCTCAATGTTTGGCACGTGGTCAAAGCTACGAGGCTCAAAAGAAGTGGAACCTTACAATTAGACGATGGACCTGTTGTTTACGGAGAATCTAAAGTAAAAATTCTTACATTTTATGTCTTTTTGGAATGATTTATTCAAAATCTTTCTCAACTCCACAACACATTTTGTAATGTGGAATAAGTTCGACTCCCTATGAGTATGGATTACTGATTTTTTGAATGGATCACTCCATATACATATATATCTAAAAATCTCATTTTATATCTAAAAAAATACATTTTTCAGGAGCCCCTCAACGAATTAAACCTAGATCAACCGCTATTTTTGGGTGGATATCGTCATCTTGCAGATATCAATCCCGAATCGGGAGTAGCAGTGGGTTTCAATGGTGCTTTACAGAGGATCGTCGTCAATGGGGAGTTATTAGAAGATCTAAGAAAAATAGCCAAAGATTCTCGAGGTGTTAGTTCCTATCGAGGACCCCCTTGCAGCGAAAATCCTTGTTTAAACAGTGGAATATGCAAACCTCAATTAAACGATTATCACTGCCAATGCCCGATACCTTATGCAGGGAGGAAATGCGAAAAGTGTAAGTGTCGATAACGAAGTTTAGTGTTATCTTAAGAATTTTTAAGAGTCAAGCAATTAAATTATCTACTAATTATGGTCTGAAGTCGATAGTTTGTGAAGAATATATATTTTGGATGGTTCCCTTGAGACACATCAAAGTTATATCGATATCTTTCGAGATCCTTAGAGCGAAATAACACTAAATCCCGCTTATTACAGTCATAAAACGTTATAAATACATCCAAGTGACTAATAAAACTTAATTGTGCAACTGATGCCGTAAATTCCGGATGCCAATAATCCACAGTTTTATTTATTTTCAGACGTGGAACGAGGAGAGATGGACCAGCCCGTTTTCTTTGATGGATCCACATTTTTGGGCTTCCCTAGCAAACTAGCAATCAGGTACATTAAAAAAAATAATAAATAAATATATATATATATTGAAACATTTATTGTCCTTAAAGTCATGCTTGATGTCGTGCTTTTTATTATAGAGAGGAGGGAGATGAACTAGAAGATAACTGGTAAGTTCATTAAATTACAAAAATTAAGTTATTAAATTGGAATTTATTGGATATTTTTTATTATAATTACAACGATAATGATGATTAATATCGGAATTTAATTGTATACAGCTTTAAAATGACATAAAGGTGGAGATTTTAACGCATGTGACGCTAAAAATCGTCATTTTTCGAAGCGTTATTGATATATATTTTAACTCTATTATAATTGATATAAATATTTAAATTAAATTAAATTGAATTATAAATACTTGTAAAATTCTTGATATTAAAATTCATGATAAGCAAGTTTTATCTGAAAATTAGTTATTCATTTCATAGGCAAAATTAAAGATTTTACTAATCTTACTACTTAGAAAACGGAAAAATTTACTATTATATAACTAATTTAGCTTTAATAAATCTTCTTTTTAACTTAATTTAAAATTAAGTTTAATTTATAAGGCCTCCAATTTATATAAGAAAATTCTCCCAAAAATGATCGTAACCTTCGAATTTTAGGGTGTTCGCGTCGTAGAAACGTATGTAAACTGCATCTAATTAACAACTATCGATTATTTAACGTTACGGATATGCAAAACGATGCAAACTCTATTGATTTTAATTAATATATACGCTAACTCGTGTCATTGTGTACTTTTTCTACGTGATATAGCGTAACATATTCAAGAAATAATGCAAATTTTATTGAAAAAAATCGTGGAAATCCCTCTTGATACGATCGTTAACTTTCCTCGATAACTTCTAAAAAAAAGCGGTTTCGAATATTCGATTCTAAAAAATTCTCTCTAGCAATTTTCCTACAGACTTTCTTATCATAATAGTTCACATATACGTGCTTCATTTTATGATCCAGCGACTACTGCTGATGGCTACATTATCACCACCTTAATCTTGTGTCCTCTCATAAAGATATTGAGAAATAGTGATACAATGCATTCTTCCATTTCCTGACATTCGTTTGCAATCTTGGAAGAAAAGAATCTACCCCAAAATATCTCCTTTCTCGTTTGTAGTTTATATATAGGACTACGATTACTTACCATCGATTACAACTAATAATGGACAAGAAATACGCAAAATACTTTTTTGTGTGGACCACGAGGAGTTATTTTGCGATTTTTCTCACTCATCACATTTAAGAAACTCTAATTAATTAATTAGAAAAGGCTAAAGAAGTTTATAATTAACAAGCTGATGATTTTGTGAAAGCTGCAAAGTGGTCCCGCTGAAGTCTGTAAGCATCTAGTATAAATATATACTTTTAAGATTTATCAAATAAATGTTTAACTTCTTTCTTAAGAGATGTCATCATCTAAAAAACGTTTTTTAAAGGATAAAAATGCAAAAAAAAACAACATTGTATAATAAAGTCTAAGGATTTTCTATAATAATAGAGCATCTATTACTACAAATGTATGGAATTTTTAGGTATTATTCGACTTTTTAAATATTTATTTTAACTTTAAACTGCTTGAATGTTAGCAACAACTAAAAATACGTGAATGCACGATAGAATTCAATAAAGGTAATGCCTTACAATTCGAATATTCTTAAGATATATTCGTATTTTTTCATAACCTGACTATAAACCAGCAGAATATATATAAAGTAAGTAATATTTAATACCGATATATTCAGCTATTGTGTAGTTATCTAAAAAAAGGCCCATAAATACATCGTGTCTGGATGTTTGGATGTAAAGTAAGGCTTTAAGTGATGCGATAAACTACTGGCATCTTACAGAATAGCTTTTTTTTTTATACAAAAAAACTTTATTCTGTGTAAGGTGAATAGGTAAAGCTTCCGATATCGTTTGCAATGATATATAAAATTGTAGAATTTTTTTAATTCATGATAAAAGGTATCGATGTCGGTTGGTGTGTTGAATTAACATAATGAGATGGAAAAATTCGAATATAAATTCGTCTATTGAAAAACAATTTATGAAACTTTCTAGAATAATAATTTTATTATTATTTACATAAATTCTGTTATGTAAAATGTATTTAATAAGTGGACCATAAAGTTTTTTTTTTATTTTGGAGTTTATGTAAAATTTTTAGATAAACATCTAAAAAATTTTACGTCTTTGTAAATTATTCTAATAAAACTTAAGGAATAATAAAAATATTCATGCACAAAATGAAATTTTTAATAGTAAAATCGACTATTTTTATTAACTTAATTTTTTTTTTAAATGTCATCGACAGAAGTGCCTTAATTGGAACAGATTATAATTTTAAAAAAGTATAATAATAGAATTTATGAAATCTCTCGTTTGTGATAATACCGATGATGATGATATTAAGATGAAAATGATAATTACTTAAGCTCATCCTTCTCTTCCTCATCACTTATATTGATGCTGCTCATCTTTCTCTTCTACTTACTAAGCACGTCGTATAAGGAAATTCAAAATCTTTGGCAAAAATTTGTAATGAATAAACATTAAAAGAACAATTATTCTACTAACTAAATCACTTTCGCTAAAGTACAGAACTCAGTAACATAGATAAAATCCTCCCTTCAATAATCGATACTTTACTCTAACTACCAATTATATTTTCTTAGTTACACGTAAACCAGCTGTTTACAAAGCAAACTCTTCGAATTTTTTTCCCTTCTTCTTTTTGTCTTTATCCACAAAAACTACAATACAACTAACAGAAATTTGAGTATTTTTTTAAATATAATTTTTCAGATTTAACCCAAGATCACCGTTCTCGAATGTGTGTGTCCTGATTTTTTTAATTATCTAAAATTAGGATTTTCTTGATTCAGGTCGAAGGGCGAGACTCAGAATCGTTTCGAAATTCGTTTTCGAACGGACAGCCCAAATGGTTTGTTACTGTGGACCAATAAAGGATCGACGATTCGTGGAGATTATTTGGCATTGGCTCTAGTCGAAGGTTACATCGAACTGAGTTTTAATTTAGGACAACAGAAACAACCCTTAATTATCCAAAATCCAATTAAAGTGAACGATGACAAATGGCACGTCGTGGTTGTAGACAGGTGAGAAGAATAAAAAAAAACCATCCTTCCTTCCTCTTTTTTTTTTAAAATTATATTTAGTAGTTAGTAGGGACTTTACAACTGGTAATTTTAATGAAAATTAGTAGTAATAATTGTTTTGCAATGACGTTAATTAGTTATAAATTCCTACATTTAGAAATAAACGTCAAGGTGCTTTACAAGTCGATAATTCTGAACCGGTAATTGGTACCTCGGATGTTGGAGCCACCGAACTTAATGCTGATGGTATTTTATGGATTGGTAAGATTATATCTCTAAATTTATTTCTATTTTTTAAATTATTTAATTAGTGACACAGTAATCAATTTGATCATTTTTAACATCAATAATTAAACATAAAAATAATGAAAATAATGCTCCTAAGCTTATTTTGATGATAATTAATATAACAGACAAATTCAGCTAAGCTATCATCCCTTTATCCTTCATCCTGAAGTCTGTTATATTAGGTATTAAGGACCATTAACGTAAGCATTCTGATACTTGTATATCAACACTCCAAAAATTCAAAGGAGCTCCGATTTTTTTAAGTGTACTACAAATGAGTGCCGACTATAATTATTCTAATGATTACACGACACTAATGATACTTTCATTTCTCAACTGAAGACAATTCGGGATGTTTTTGGAGGATCTTTTTTATCTATTAGTTGAGAAAAGTAGGTACTACTCTATCGATATCCCAGTAAACAATACAGTTCATGCGGGTATTTTGATCAATTCAAATTGCTTTCGATTAACAAGTGAACTACTAGGTATCATTTTATAGTTATACTACTACAAATATAATAAAACTACTACTATAAATATTTTATTCTCTTTACAAATTCAAATCTTTAATATAAAAAAAACACGTCAAAGCCTCTTAAATCCAGCTTTCCCTCCAAGCTTGCACTTTATAGAACATATTAAAGGACATATATCCAAATTTTCCAATCAATAAATTTGATTCTTGCATATTCTCTCTTCTATATAAAAGATTTAACGAGCTTTCACAATATTATATCTGCTCCAAATAGAATAATTCACATTAAGTTATACATCACAAAAACTGGAATCATTTTTAAAGTAAATTCCATTTACTGATCAACAGAGGACTAATGTTTACTTTGATTCTACAAGTATTTAATTTATTTGAGAGTGATACTCTGAACGGAAGAAACTGATCAAAGAATTTCTTTGGGTTCGATAGCATTGAGAGGAACTGCACTTAAAGAGTTCTCTGAAAGATCAATATCTACAAATCAATGGAAATTCCCACATGTATCGGTCTATTTATTCATCCGATGCATTCTCGACACACTGGAATTGGTCGGAAAGTACTTTCTCACCTTTCCTCTATGGAGTCACTTATCGGATCTCCACACTATTTTAGTCTAAGTTTGAAAGTGACTAAGTTTTTAGTCGGTCAAGATATGAGCAGTTCAAAATACATAAATAGCTAAGTGATATTTAAACTGTTATAATTTAGTTATGTACAAACTTAAACCAATAATACTGAATATCTAAAAGTGCAAATTAAAAATTGAGATTAGATGTAAATTGTTTTTCTCCCCCAGATAAATATTTCATATACTACTTATTAATTCAAATTTCTTTTTCTTTGTTTGTATTGACTTAAACCGAATTTCCCAAAAATATCAATGGAAATACACTAAATTCCTCTAAAACAACAACTTACCTGAATAATAAGGTAATTTCATTAGTTTCCAAGTTAGATTAGTTACATGCTACTAAATTAGATTGACTACAGACTTACACAATTACTAACTAGTTTGTTCTTTGTAAATAGTCTAACATTATTTTAGGACATTCTATAAATTATATTTTAGCATTATGTGATTACAAAATATTATTAATTTAGATTCTGTATTAGTGGAATCACTTTATTAGATACATAATTTAATTGCATAAATCACAGATGTTAATCATTTTATAACCTAATGTTTCCAGACCAAGTATAATTTCTAATATAAAAGGGTTTCTTTAAAGTTTGAAAACTAATTTAGGGAGAAAAAATAAGATCAAACATGACAGTTAAATTAATCACTCATCTTTCATCTATATATGGATATAAAAAGATAAGAATGGAAACATTGAGATTTATTTGGTGAGTGTAAGATCTGTTTAAATTGAGTGAATTGAATTAAATGAATAAAAACAAATTCTCTAGAATTTATTATTATTATTCATAAGCATGTTAATAATATGATGATAATTAAGTTTAATTCTTCAAAAAAAATTTAGTTTTGGATATTAACAGTACCAAAAGAAAGGAAAAGGAGACAAAAATTTACAGGAAAAGAAGTATCCCTTTTAAACACAATATCATTTAGTAATTTAAGCTGGAAAAAATGTCCAGTTTCTTCAATTTTCAAAATAGAATGCATACAAATTAACTGTCATTTAAATCCAATTAAAAATAAACTAACTTAAGTCTTTGCTAATCAAATATATTTAATAATGTCAACCATTTAGTTTAAGTCTAACATTGAATGCTCTATTTTAAGACAAATTTCTATTCTAATGGTTTATCTAAAGAACTTCAATGAGTCATTATTTTGCATTACAGTTTTAATGATTCTCTTGAAAGATCCAATTTTTGTCCAGGGAAATTTATATTGCCATTTCAACTCATCTTAGATTTTTATTATTCAAGATAATTCGATTACCGACAGTTTCTAGTGAGATGTAAAAATCGAATTGCTCTCATTAGTTGAAACACAACAACATGACAGGACAATGATAAAAAAAATAGAGAATGTAAAATGAGTATTTCTATATTTAAGAAGAAGAAAATCCTATTTACAAGCACTAAATTGATGATTTACAATTTTAATGCCTTGAAGACCCAATTTATTATATTTTTAATTGATGTCTATAAAATTTATCAGATATCTTAGGAGTGGTAAACTGCAAATATATCAAAAACTAGATGTGATTTTACAAATAATTATTCTAACAGCAACTAATTTCCTATTCTTCTTTTTTAAGGAGGAGTACCAGATTTACCGTCAGGTCTTCCCACGCCTTATTATAAAAATTTTGTTGGATGCATTCATTCAGTCATAGTTGATGGAGAGGGGCTGAGATTGGCGATGCAGGGTGGTAGCAAAATAGAATACTGCTCAGAATCTTGACGGTTCCATTTTTAGTTGACGTCCTAAGATACAAGATGGCTTCCATCGAATCACTACAGAAGTCGAGCCTTCTATAAAATGGCCTTTGTAACATCGAAAGAGCGGCAAGGCAAATACCGAGTCTAGACGTCTAACCGGTTTCGGCCGTCGGTCATTTTTTTTACCACGGAGTTTATATTTTTATTGGGTTTTTCTTTATAGTGAACTTTTCAATTTCTTTTTAATAACTGCAGAAGCATGACACTGGGCAATAAATAACTCCAAACAATTAAAAATATTAAACTCTGTGTGATTATTTTAATCTGAATGTATAAAAGAACATTTTTAAATAACGGAATAGTAATTACTCCAAATGTGTTTTTTAATTGTTTTGTTAGATTACAACCAAAATATTCTTAATTATTGAAATTAAGGAATGATGAAAATAAATTTTTCTTCTTGTATATTTTTGTTAAATTATTATTTAAACCTTAAGACTAAGAGCATAGTTTTTAAAGCAAATTTGATTCATAGGTTACATTATTAAAGTTGTTCACAAAAAACCTTGAGGGTACAACCATTTGTGCTAACTTAATAAATATTTATACAATTTACTAAAATAGTACATAATATTAAACACAAATACACACATTTTATAAAATTTTTTCATTATATTAACAAACTTGCTACTCTACAAGATGAGTCAAAAGTCTTCATATAAAACATAGACCACTCAAAGAGATATACTGCATGTAACATCATGGCTTAAGAAATAAGTGTTTATATATGGAGACTTTTGAATCATTTGTATAATAGTGAAAATTATACATGTAATTTGAGGGGTAATCCTTTCTGTTTTAATTATTTGCATCTAAAATTTAATTTTGTTTTATCACATATATGATAGCATTCTGAAGCTGTAAGTCATTTACTTAAAATAAAAATCAGATGTATGAAACAGTTTCTTTTAGTCATTAGAAATTTTTTTAATGATAAAAATAAATAATAAAATTAATTTCTTTCATTATTTAATCTAAAAAGTTCTCTATTTTTTCCTTCCTATACAGATCTTCACTATTTTAAAATAATCTAGCAGTTAACAAATTCACTCTCATGTAAACAAAAATACACATTCTAAAAAAATCCGAGAACTAATGTTTGTATATAAAAAATTTATTTTTAAACAGGACCAAAAAAACATTATGTTTCATATACATATGAATTAAGCGTGTGCCGATTTTTAATTTACACATTATGCCATCGTCTCAGTCCGTCAGTTCAAGTCTCTTGAATCGGTCCTGGTCATAGAAACCGGCTCTTACAATACGTCCTCCAAAATATCGTCCATTGAGGTCAACAACAGCTGCAAAAACATTCATTTGTTATACATATACACACAAAAAATTATAATATAAAAAAGCCAGCTAATACCTCACCAAGAGAGATTTATCCCTGTCACTGTTCAGTACATTATTATATAATTAGAACTTACAAAAATAAAACAGCAGTATTTACGTGTTTACAGATAAATAGATAACTTTTTGATAAAAATAATATAATGCTAATTTAAATGAATATATATCTAACTATGTATTTGTCATAAATTATTATATTAACTTTAAACTTTTCTAATTAACATAACAAACAAAGTACTGAAAAGAATATTAATTACATTAAAATAACTGAATTCAATAAAATTCTAAATAATTAGTATTTCATTCTAGTTTATTCATTCTGACAGCTATTGAGTGAAAAATTAAATGAATTATTCACAAATGTGAAAATTTAGAAAATGTACAGGAAATATTTAATTAAATGTAATAAAATTTGTAATAAATGTATAGAATCACAAAAGTTCTTATTTGATTTAAACATAATATTTACACAGTTCTTTTAATTGCTTTAATTGTTAAATGAATTAAATTTGATAAATTGAATGCATCTTGGTTTGGAACATTTATAGTTTTCAATTCAATAAATTTTTAAAAATTGAAAATGTAATTTTACCTTAAAATAGCCAAAATATTGAATTTTTAAATATTTAAACAAAAACACATTTTGATTTTAGAAAAAACTGAGGATCATAAAAATAGACTTTCTTAAAAAATATCTATGATCCTTAATTTATGTATATAATTTATGAAAAAAACATTTTACATGTTTCATTGAAATTTATAGAAAACTATTTTTTAATTTATTTATTATAATGCAACTTCTTTTCAAAAGTTTAGAAACTTTGTCATTAAAACTATAGTATTGATATTTACAAGCAAAAGACTATTTATACATACAGAAATCCAACTTTCTATTTACTGTACTTCCTTGATTAAACAAATAAATAAGTTGACTTATTCCAAAACAGTGTCTTCTTTTAATTATCCTTTACTTCATAACTGAATGCATAGGTAGACACCAGTGCTGTTCAGTGTATTGTCAGAAAATTTTAACTCATATATGTATTTTAAAAAAAAGGATGTGTATTAGTTAGCACCTTTACTAAATGTTTAAAGAAAATGCAGATGGAAGAGGGGCATATGCCCGAAATGTGTATCGGTTTGTAAGATATTCCTGAATAAAGAGTGATGTTAAAGATGCCCAGTGTCTACCTATACACCCAGTTGTGAAGTAAAGAATAAATAAATAAGTTACAAAATGCATCAAAAGTTTTAATTCAAAACATTTATTTTAATCACAAAAATATTCATTATATCCATATATACTACACTTGTTTCATAAATTTAAAAAGTGTCAAATCTGTTTCTAAATTTATGAAATTTAATAATAATATATAGATTATTTTACATATTTTGTTTAGTAATTCTGTGTTGAACACTTGCTATTGTGGTTCTTACTTCATTATGAGCAAATCTAAGCAGCTAACAAAGAAAGAAAAATTACAATTTTTGAAAAATGGTGATTGAGTAAATCAATAGAAGATATTGACAAAGATTTAAATATATCATAACCCAATAAAATGAACAAGTAGGCCAAAAATAACAACCAAACACGATATTAATATGTTGTGGTCCTTGTAAAGTGATACAGCTTGTAAAGTGACTTTTATTAGAAACTTTACATACTGTTTTATAACAGTTAGGCTGAAATTCCTCACCCTTTCTTTTAATAACATGTCCTTGATCTCTAAAATTCAGACAAAAAATGGATTCTCATTCCGAATCACATTTTTCCAATCGTCATCACTCCAACTGAGATAGTCCTTTGTCCACTGAATGGTAACCCTTCTTTGCTTTTTTGTTAAATGAAATTTAATCTTTGGCATTCTGGAATGGAATCTTGTAATCTGTACCAAGTAGTAGTTCTTGATATATTTTTATTAATTTTTTTGGTCAAGTTTGCAGTGATTTGAGCTGTTGATATAAATCTATTCTCCAGTACGATCCTTTTTAATACATTAATATCACATTTAGTTGTAATTTTTAAAATTGTTTTGTTGGTTTTGTGATGATTTTATTGTCTTCATGTATTTGTTTCGAACATTTTGAAAGAACTGATTATGATATATTTAAATCTTTGTCAATATCTTCTATTGATTTACTCAATCACCATTTTTCAAAAATTACCCTTACATTTGCCCTGTAATTTTGTAATTTTCCTTTGCTCTTATGGGCAAATGTAAGCAGCTAACAAAGAAAGAAAAGACCACAATAACCACAATAGCAAGTGTTCAACACAAAATTACTAAACAAATACAGGCATTTTGTTATATCTTGGTTTTCTTTAAAAAATTTAATTTGAAATTTGAAAGTATTAAATTGTTTTTAAATAAAAAAACATCTGTTCACCAAGTGTTATGCTCTCTAATTTGACATATTGTGAATTGGAATAGTAATATATACATTATTGAGTTTCTAAATTTATGAAATTTAATAATAATATATATAATGAATATTTTTGTGATTAAAATAAATATTTTAAATTAAAACTTTTCATGTATTTGTAACTTTTTGTTTAATCAAGGAAATAAATAGAAAGTTAGATTTCTATATGTATAAATAGTATTTTGCTGTAAATATAAATACTATAGTTTTAATGACAAAGTTTATAATAAGAATTATTTAAATATCTGAATATTCCTATTGTAGTTGCTAGGAAATAGTGTTGGAACTAACAGAACAACATACAATTGTATACATTTGAAACCTGGAATTCAAATCAATCATTAAAAAACTGAATTTGAATAGCAAAGTCATTCAAAGAAATGTTATATGCTCAAGACTGACTGATTCTGAAAGCAAAAAGAATATTTCTAGAAAGTACTAAATGAGTACAATTTTATCATCAAATCATTTATTAATAATAAGATATAAAACTTGTTACAAGTGGGAACATACATAGAAAATAGATTAGTTTGCAATATAAATTCCTTTGAACTACACCAACAAGAATAGCCCACAGAAAAAGCAATGTATACATTATCTATACAAAGTGAGTCAAAAGTCTTCTGTATCCTTTTCATTTCAGAAGTACTGAAGAAATATTAATTTTTGATAATATAGTCACAAAGGAAAGTCATGCATGGAGAATCAAATGATACTTTTTGATGACCTTGAAAATGATTTTCAAGGTCACTTATGTTGTAACCTTTTAATGAGAAGAGGTAATATAAAACTTTCAATGACAAAGTTAGAGAGCTCCATTTAATTAGTCCAAAACCATTTTATGAATTCAAACAAATACATTTAGAACTGCATAATTTCCAGCTTTAAATTTATGAGGAGCAAAAATGATATCATTTCTAAAGAAGGTCAAAATAAAGGACCCATCATATTCTCCAGGTACGACTTTCTATTTAACTACATTATTAAAATTTATATATCTTCAATACTTTTGAAATGAAAATGGTGCAAAGCACTTTTGACTCATCCTGTACATAATGAATATTTATTCAACCTTAACTGAATTATCAATCTCTTAACAATTATGATGATGTTCATTAATATAATGTTAATCTTGAGGAAATTTTAAAATATTTATATAATGTGTAATAAACAGATTGAAATAAAGAATAAATTGGAAAAATGCAGCTTCCATTCATAAAATATAATCTTGTTCCAATCATCCTCCAAATTATCAAAATAGTTTATATAACACTCCAAAAGTCTGCAATGTTCAAAAATAGTATGCCATTATTATATAAATAGAATAGAGTTTAGCATTTTATTATATCTTGGTTTTATTTAAAACATTTAGTTTGAAATTTGAAAGTATTAAATTGTTTTTAAATAAAAAACATCTGTTCAATAAGTGTTATGTTCTCTAATTTGGCATATTGTGAATTGGAATCCTGTTCTGGGCATGGATGTTTATGACTGATTTTAATGGGATTATTTACTGAAGGAAACTCAATGCAACAAGGATGGTATTGCTCAAATTTAAAAAATTTTTATTATTAAAATTATATAAATGGTCTCAAATAAATAAATGTTTTCTTAACTACTTATTTATTTAACCAAACTTTAACTTTTCCAGGATCTTTTGAAGTTTCTGTAGACATTAAATTTAAATGTAAGGATAATAATAAAAATTAATGACTTTTAGAATTTAATCTTTGTGTTTGTGTATATTACTGTTACATTATTTCACAAACATTCCACATAAATTTTTAAAAATATCAGTTCATAGCATATTGTTTTTCAAATAACTAACTTTTAATTAAAAGTTAGTTATTTGAAAAACAATGTGCTATGAACTGATATTGTTTACTGTTGTTGTCATTAAAATTACAAAGACAACTGGACAACATCCAAGCTTTTCCAATTATAAAATTATTATTATTTACATGTAATATCTACTTGATACATAATTGATAATGTTTAATTAGAATATGGAAATTTTCATTTGCAAATAGTAGTATTTTAAGTATAAATCATTGTATTTTACTTTGTTAATGCATTTATCTTGATACAACACATGCCAAACCTTACTTCATTAATGCTTAATTACTTTAATATTTTATGAAATCTTCTAGTAATAATTATTAAAACATTCAAATATTTCTTAAAATGCAATTCAACAGGGAAATGCTCACTTATTAATGTATATTTAATAAGTAATAAAAGCATTCATGCATAATATAAATACCTTAATCTTACGTTATTACAAGTAACCAAATGTCCAACATAAATCTATCTTGTTAGATTAATTTCTGTTTTCTGTGACATTTAGGTAATTTTGAATGCAATTTTAATTGATGGTTATATCTTAAATTTTCTTGAATTTTAACAATTTTCTAAATCTTTTTAATTATGAAAATTAAATTTATTATAATATTAAGCTTGTCCACTATTTAATTAATAAGACAAAATTAATAAAACTGCTTACTGGGCTTTATATCTTACTTTA